ATGCAGGTGCATTTACAGTTTACACACAAATGGAAAGGAACAAAATAAGAAAAGAAAATAACTTTGAAAGATAATTAGGAGAAAAATAATAATAAAATTATAATTAAAATTAAAATACTGGGCCACACAAATTACATAAATAAAAAAGTAGCTTGTCACATAATACCAAAATACTTTTGCATTATTTGATTGGTAATTGCAAAAAGATGTTTGTGGTAGGGTTTGAAGGTCAATTGTGCATCCATATACATTTCACTTTAATTCTTCACTAATTATTGGTATATGAAAGTACAAATTTTATTTAATGATGAGATATAAATCAGGTCTCATCAATTCTCTAAATGGCTAAATAAATTTACATTTGAATTTATTATTCTAACGTCACAAATTATATATTAATCACTCAATAGAGCATGTAAGTCTATAAGTTAATGTTTCTTTAGATGGGTTTTAAAAAAAATTAGTTTGAGTTTATATTAAAATAATGTACGATGGGATATTTTGTGAGAGAAAAAAGTATTTTTTTTTTCGGGAAATGCAGAGTTCAAATAGTAAAAATTTGAAATTTTGAGAAAAAAAAAAAAAACATGGGAATAAGAAATGTTGATATTTTAATATTTATCTATTGTAGTTTACCATTGCCAAAATCTTTTGATTAAATGTTAAAAATATTGAAAGAAAAATCAACACTGTTTATTTCATGATATGTTAGAAGACAATAATCACTAATAAATAAAATAACCAGTGTTAATTTTTTTTTTTTTTGAAAAATCACTTCCCCAATCACTACACTACAAGAAATTATCAATTTTGTAACGAGATTTTTTCGTTACTAAATTCACTTTTTCTGTTACTAATGATATTAGAGATGGAATTACGTTAGCTACATGAACTTTATGAACGGAATTCTGTTACAAATATACTAATTTTTTGTAGTGCTAGTAGAATAACCTAATAGAATATATATTTTTTTAAAAAAAAAAAAATGCACTAAGTATTGTATTCCATGCAATAGTGCTAGGTACAACTATCAAATAACTAATTAGGTGAACAACATAGGTAATATCGAGTGATTATCAAATAAATAAATATCTCAATAAATTGGCGGTAAAGAAAATGATCATCAAGAGGAGTCTCATCTATCAATATAATATGACATCCAACGTCGAAAGGTGTCGAAGCTATCTTGCAATTAGTGAAGCTAACACGAGAGACATTAATATTCATCAGAGCTATCAGAAATTTAAATAATAAAGAAACACCGAATGTGACAAATACTCTTCATATCAAACTGATTATTCTTAATGAGGATCATATCATCATATAAAAGAGCAAAATAAAAATTCCAGAACAACTCTGACAAATAAATAAGGTAGAGTCATATGAGCTGAAAGTGAAGTCAAATTGAATAATAGCTTAACTTATGAAAAACTATGCACGTGACGCCTCTTTCATACCGTAGAACACCATAACTTGCCGACTTTAGAAGAAAGTATAGAACCTGGAGTCATATAAATATCCTTAAAGATATCACTGTAGAGGGAAATCTTCTTAATATTAAATAATAAAATAGATCGTTAAGAATAACCACAATCACAATTAAATAAGGAATATAGGTAAAACACGCAAAATGAGCAAAGTTTTACTCATAATTAATGTCATATTCTTTAAAGTAGCATTTTGCAACCAACTGAGCCTTGTAATGCTCAAAATATCTATTAGAGTTAGTTTTAATCTTAAAAACTTATTTACAACCAATATGTGTTTTTATCTAAAAGTAGAACAACTAAACTTTATGTACGAGTTTTCTCCAAAAATCCATAACTCGTTAGACATAGCATATATCTATAATGGATCATTATTTGCTTTATAAAAGACATAGTTCATGCATGGACAAGATGACAAAAAAATATATATATAGTGATACTCATATAGATAAGCAAGTTGATGATTTACTTGATGCGATCGCCGAGGTAAAACAAAGCGAGGTATCGTATCCGGGTCAACATAAAGAAACAAGATCAAAGGTGGATTGAAAGCGTCAATTGAAACATAATTTGAAGATGGAAATAGGCTCGTAGAATCAGTTGATATAACACCATGAGAAATAGGAAAGAAAGAAAAGTGTGATGATAGAAATGAAAGTGAACTTGGAAACATAAAAGACATAGAATTCAGATATAGAGAAAAATAGGATTTTCACTCAAAATGTAACGTGATGATAAATATACAACTATTTAGATATAAGATCCCAAAGCCTATAACTTTTCTATTCTACCTCATAACCAAGAATACTATACAGACGAGCACAAGATTATCGTTTAGAACATTAATGCGAAGATATACGAAGAAAAACTACAATTATTGAATGAACGAAAAATGTTATATCAGATGGATAGACGTTAAAAAATGGTTACATTACTTATGATAGATGATGAAAGACAATTCTTATGGTATAAATGGCAGTAAAGACAACTTTCCCCTACAACCTATTAAAACAAAATACATAAATAAAAAAAATGCACACACAATATCTAAATATCACTATATTTACACTTGGTCCAACAATATTGCTGAAAGTTATATAGACAAAAACGTTGAATTACTATACCATTAGCAAAAAGAAAAATCAATAAGAATATCCTATACTTAAGTCAATTATCAATACAGAAATTTTGTATAGAACAAGAAAATTGAGTTTTAATCACGTGGATATATTGAATATACTTGAATTAATTCCGAACATTATTTTAAAAACTATATTCATAATAATGACACTCACTTACAGAAAAAACTAAAGAATGATTTCAAATATCATAATGAATCAAAAAAATTGTTTACTTGTAATTGACATAATTTTTAATACGGTAAAGCATGTTGTTTTACTAGAAAATGGTGTAAGCAATCAAATTATTCAAAATTAGTAGAATGACTCTTACTAGCCATAGATCAAATTTATAAAAAAATAAATAAATAAAATAAAAAGTGCATGACCAAATTGAAAGTGTTATTGGAGACTAGAGTAGGAAGAGGAGAAGGAATAGTGAAAGTAGTAGCAACAGAGAAATTACGGGAAAGAATCTCAGAGACTAAACTTCAAATAGGTGACTCATCTTTCGACTTGTCGCAAGAATTTAGTTTGTATATTGATTCTGAATCTATACATCAGAAGAAGAGAAAGTAATAGTGAATCTATTGTTAACTAATTGGCCGACTGTACAAGATTTAAAGTTAATTAAAAAAATACAATAAGTATTAGAAAGATGTGTATAAGGTAAAAATATAGATTCTTACTGAATGTATCCATGTGACTGTCATTGACAATATGTATGTGTGGAGAGGACATAGAAAATATAGTTGACCAAGAGATCAAGTGAATGTGTCATATGATTACAACAATCGCAGTTGGCGATGAAATTGTTTGTTGTGGCTGGTTTTGGCGCAGTGGTGATGCTGGGATGGGCGGTGTCAATTGTTTGTGAATGGATAACAATGAAATTGCATTAGAATGTTGTGTTATATAAAATTTTTGTCAGTCTCACTACAATTGACATCATTTTCTTTTTTGTATGTCCCATAACGATTGACACATTTCTATTTTAAATAAAATTTATTAAATCAAAACTTACTTAATAAATATAAATTAACTACATAACATATAACATCATAAATACATATGACCTATTTAAAACTCTTTTATTTTTATCTCTCTCTTTTAAAAAATATGTATTTTATCTATATTTAAAACTTCATTTCTTTTGTAAAATTAATTTATATTAATTAGAAATAAATACAAATATTTTTTATTTACTTGTATTATATAAAATTTTATTCTCTACAAAATTATATTCATATTGCATATATTTTTTTATTGCTACATAATTTTTAAAATATTTAAATTCATATTTTAATTTTTTTAATCATATATATTACTTTAAAATTATCAATATTATTAATTACATAAAAAAATAATAAAATAATTTGAACATTTTTACCTTAAATATTTCTAATGAAATATATGGTTCAATTATGATGGGATAGAGGGAATATATATATACATTATGGCATCTTATAATTTGCAATGCATTATGTCATCTTATAATTTGCAAGAATTGTAGTATATCTTCATAATAAAAATAAAGGTCTATAAATAGGTGTGATACATATTCCATAGCCTTAAATAAGAACTATCTAGTCCTCCCGTGAGGGATAGCCGGGTGGTGTAGAGGTTGGACTTACACATGGTTCATCTAATGTGATTTTCTCAGGACTTTCTCGTCGGGCCTGGTTTGCAAGGTATTAGGGTTTCCACATCATCAAAAATTATATATCTTCTTGATTTTTTTATATGTTTTTTTAGTATAAAATACAAAAATTATACATCCATATTAAAAATTGTGTCAAAAAATTAATTTATAAGCACAAACTTAAACAATAAAGGGATTATTACATGGGAGCATCCAATTTTGAAAAATAGATAGATGATCGGATCATGAGCAAATTAATTAAGTATATATGTATATGGTTGAGCAAATTATTACAAAGTATAACAAGACAATTAATCCCAAATCTTCATTAGGTAAACCTCTTTAATTAGTTTCCTTGCAAATATTTTGCTCATGTACTTATGTGAATGTCTGCATATATATATAATTTGATCACTGACTTGTCCTAAAAATGGAGCCTACAAATTCATATCCAAGATCCAAAGGGGCATCATTTACCAACCTGTGGGCCCACTGCCCATACCCCCCCCCCCCCAAACCCACCCCACCCCACCCCCACTTATTCCTTTGTGATGAAACCCTATTATAGCTGCCATCACATTGTGTCCTAATCATGAACTCTTGTGAGAGATGGAAAAAGCAAAAGGGACACTCATCACAAAACAAAGAAAGAGGGATCACCACATGTGTATACACTTTATATACATACATACCCCCCCCCCCCCCCCCCCACCCCTCCCTTAAGGCCAATCATATAATACCATGAACCCATTCATTATATTCTCTCACACCTCGATCGAGCAAATTCTCTAGAGAAAGAAAATCTAACATCGATCGATCCATCAATAATTGATCAACCCCATTTTAATTTGCAAAACTCGATCTTTATCTAGAGCATTGTCTCATTGGCAAACAAGCCATGGTGAGTGTGATCGAAATTTCTATTGTGCATTTTTCTTGTTTGGTACTCATAAGTGAGCTTATGTTGGATGTATTCGATTGCGCAGACGCCGGGGGACGACTCGGAGCGAGGCGACGCCGCGCTAATTAGGCCGTCAAGTATTAGGAAAGGGGGGTTTAGAGCTACCTCCTTCATCTATGGTGAGACTAACTATTAATTAACAATTATATTTGTTTAATTTGTTGATATTGATTGAATTTTTGGTAATGTACTTACAGCTTTGGTGGCATTGGAACATATGGGATTTGTGGCTAACATGGTTAGCTTAGTGCTCTACTTTTCTTACAAGATGCACTTCGATCTGTCGAATGCAGCCAACACTCTCACTAACCTCATGGGCTCGACTTTCTTGCTCTCCATTATTGCTGGCTTCATTTCAGACACATATATCAATAGGTTCCAAACTGCTCTCATTTTTGGAACCCTCGAAGTCTTGGTAATTCAATCCATTTTATATCTATATATATATAAATCAATAGTTTTCTCAAAAACCCTTTTGGGCTCGTCGTGCATGGAACTTAATCCGACGATCGATCATCTCATTCTCCCCTACAAAGCTTGTAGACGACGATGGATACATACATGATAGATACATATATATATGTATGTATGTGTGTGTATGTATTGTTAATGATTGAGAGTAATTAGTAGTGTAGTGTTTGTTTTGTATCCCCACTTGTTTTTGGTCCTCTCAGCACGTGGCTTAGCTTTTACAGATCACTACTACTGATTTAATTTTAATTAATTAAAATTAACAATCTGTATATATATAATATAGGAAGGGACACGTGGACGATTTTGATTGACTGGTTTTTCAGGCTTTATCGATGATGACAATCCAAGCCCACACTGATAGTCTGCTGCCGGAGCCGTGTGGGAAGTCCAGCTGTCTCGCCGGCGGCGTCGCCGTCTATTTCTACGCGACGCTGTGCCTCCTGGCGCTGGGGGTCAGCGGCGTTCGGGCGTCGCTGCCGCCGCTGGGGGCGGAGCAGTTCGACCCCCACCACCCCAAGGAGGCCAAGAGCCTCGCCAGCTACTTCAATTGGCTGCTGCTCAGCACCGTCTCCGGCGCGACGGTCGGAGTCACCGTCGTCGTTTGGGTGGCGACCAATAAGAATAATCATAATTGGTGGAAAGGGTTTCTGATCACCGCCGTCGCCACATTCGTCGGATTGTTATTCCTCATCGCCGGCAAGCCTTTCTACCGCCTTCGAGCCCCTTCCGATAGCCCCCTTATTAGAGTTGCTCAGGTGAAATTACTTCTTTGCCCCTACAGCTTTTGCATATCTCTTAGACACTTTTGTCTTTTTAGTAATTTTAACAACAATTTGTTTTTTTCATTTATATTATCAAATAATTAGTTTCTTTATCATCAATAAAATTTTCTAAAAAAAAAAAATTCTATCTAGATAATACATAGGGTCCATATATTACTTTTATTTCAGAATTATTGCAACTACGATTTGATCTTCCTTTTTGATAAAAATTTGAGTATTTTGTCCCTTGGTCATGAACATAATGATGATTCTATTAGTGTAGGACCAAAATTTGGGTTTGTTGATCTAGGCTTTATTTGAGTTTTATAGTATATTAAAATATAATCCTAGTATTTTATTAGCAAGTAGAAGTGTGTAAGAAATTTTAATATTTTTGTCACTTTATATAAAAAGTAATTATATGTGTAATGGTATGTTTGTAATTTAGGTAAAAATTAAAAGAATATTTTGATATTAATGTATAATTACGGAGGAAAATGATAAAAAAAAATGTATTTTGAATTGGGACAGAAAGTATACATTTTTATAATAAATAGTAAATAAATTGAAATTAAATTTTAAAGTAAAAAATTGTATGGAATCAAAATTGTAATATATATATATATATATTTATGTGATTGATTGATAAAGTATTTTGAATTTCTTAGGTTATTGTTGTTGCGATTAAAAATCGAAGATTGCCATATCCGGAGAGTTCAAATGAGCTCTACGAGATCAATGAAAAGGAGTCCAATCCAACGGTTACCAAAATTGCCCATACCGAACAATTCAGGTATAATTTTTATTTATTTATTTTTTATAACGTGGGAATTCGCAATCGCTATCCGAAAGTGTGCACTGGATAAACCCCGAACTAACCTAATGCCTTGCAAAACAGACCCGACGAGAAAGTCACGCTAGGATATCATAATTATTTTATTTAATTCTACAAAGCACACGCCCTAAATAAATAGTAACATTATTTTAGTGACATTTCAAATACGAATTACAGTAAAATATTAGGACAAATGGAATATTTATCGATCTGATTTGATAATAAACTTGCTTGCATATTTCTTTGAACATTATAAAATTGAGAATAAAACTATTTAGGTGGGATAGATAGAATAGTACAAAATCATGGGAACTTTTTTAGTAAAAATATCCAAAGAAAAAACATAATTTTATTTATTTTTTTACCAAAAACAACGATGGTGTTTGTTTGATTTTCTAATTGAAAATGTTTTTTTAGTGTGTGTATTTAATACTAAAAATAATATTTTTATTAAATTATTAAATTTTTACTCTTATTAGAATATTTATATGGCATATTGTGTGAGTTAGTTTGTGTATATTACTCTTTGATATCAAAAAAATAGTATACACTCACTTTTCAAAAAGGTTAATTTTCTTATTTTTGTAAAAAATCATAATAAATATTACTCCCACCCTCCCATTAATATAGTCTTAATTGAATTTGGCACGAGATTTAACGAATATTGATATTATATTGGTAGTTGGTAAAAAGTACAATTTTTTTTGCCCTTGTTAGTGTATTAGTGTAAAAAACAGTGAAAATTGTGTAATAAAAATGAAAAAGTATAGGCAGTTTTACGGTGATATAGTTATTTATGAAAAACAAGACTGTTGTTTTGGAACAGACAAAAATGGTAAACAAAACTATTGTATTGGGACGGAGGGAGTACGATTTTCGTACTTCCAAAACATAAAAAAATTTCTGCTACATAGAATATAATACTTCATGCATCCCAATACAATAGTCTTATTTATTATTCCCTCGGTCCCACTTAATTTTTCAACTCTTTCTATTTTCATTTGTCTCATATAATTTATATTTTTTTTTAAAATATAATTATACATTTTAATCAAATTTTAAAATTCATAATTTATAATATTTTTTATTTTAAGTAAAATATTTAGTCATATTAATATTAATTTATGATTATTTTTACTAATACACTTCTTAATTATTTACTAAATACCCGATACTTAAAACTTCGTGTTTAATCTAAAGTAGATAATTTAAGTTGAAATGAGAGAGTATTTTTCTTCGTCCCAAAACAATAGTCTCATTTTCCTAAATAATCATATCATCGTAAAACTACTACTCCCTTCATCGTGGCTACCGTGTCCCCTTTACTACTAGAATTTATGAAGGGTATAATTAGTAAATAATTAAGAATATATTAATAAAAATAATTATTGTATAATAAAATTAATTTTAGAATAAAATTAATATAATTAATTAGTCTAATTAAAATTTAAAAACCTACAAATTTTAATGAAATTAAAGTGTACAATTCTTTAAAAAAAAATTAAAAAAATATATGAGACAAATGAAAATAAAAAGATAATCACAATAAGTGAAATAGAGAAAGTACTATTTTATTTTATTTTTTAGAACAAAAAAAAAATTATCATATTACCAATATAATATTAGTAATATTTATATTCTTATTAATAAAAAGGTCAATATAAAAAAATTAACTTGGGCGATGATCGATTTAATAAAAAAGGTAAATAATTTCCATGTCAATTTTACAAAAACTGAAGATGGCTAGACAAGGCCGCAATCCTCCCTCCCAACACGGCGGCGTCGCCATGGAAGGTCTGCAGAACCACCCAGGTGGAGGAGGTGAAGATCCTGGCCAGAATGGCCCCCATCATCGGCAGCACCATCATCCTCAACACGTGCATGGCTCAGCTCCAGACCTTCTCCGTCCAGCAGGGCTACCGCATGGACCCCCGCCTCTCCTCCTTCCACGTCCCCCCCGCCTCCATCCCCGTCATCCCCCTCCTCTTCATGCTCCTCCTCATACCCCTCTACGACCGCCTCTTCGTCCCCTTCGCCCGCCGCCTCACCGCCCACCCCTCCGGCATCACCCACCTCCAGCGTGTCGGCGTCGGCCTCCTCCTCTCCGCCGTCTCCATGTCCACCGCCGCCGCCGTCGAGCTCAGGCGGAAGCGCCGATCCCTCCGCGACCCAACCCGACCCATCAGCCTCTTCTGGCTCGCCTTTCAGTACGGCACCTTCGGGATCGCCGACATGTTCACCCTCGTCGGCCTCCTCGAGTTTTATTACAGGGAGGCGCCGGAGGGGATGAAGACGCTGTCGACTTCTTTCACGTGGATTTCGCTGTCGTTCGGGTACTTTTTGAGCAGCGTTTTTGTTTCCGTTATAAATTCGGTGACTCGGCGGATTGCGCCGAGCCGGAAGGGGTGGCTGCAGGGGCAGGATTTGGACAAGAACAATCTCAACTTGTTTTATTTGTTCTTGGCTGTGTTGAGTGGGCTCAATTTCTTGAATTATTTGTATTGGGCTAGATGGTACAAGTGCAAGAATGTCGAAGATGGTGGTGGCGGCGGCGGTGGTGGTGGTGGTGGTGGTGGTGCGGCGGAGGAGGCGGGGGGAGAGGTGTTTATGGCATCAAATGGTTGCTATGTGGTGGAAGAACAGAGTAATGGGAAAGGCTAATGAAAGGTACTTGAGGAAAATAATTAAAGAGAGAGATAATTTTTATATATATATACAGTGGTGATAATTGGTGCTCTTTTTTTTCTTTTTCTTTTTTTGAATGTGGTTTTTGTACATTAGGTGTTTGTGTGTGAGTGGTTTTGATCGTATTATGAGAAATGATTCATATGGTGGAATTTGATGATGTAAGTAAGTAAGCATGTGTGTATATGTATGTATGCATGTGTTTGTAAAAAGAGAAATGCTTTAATGGAGATTTTTAAAGCCTGAAAATAAATAAATATATATATTTATATATTTTTAAATATATTTCTAATCTGTATTATAATTCAACATATATATTAATTATCCATCAAATCAGCATCATGTTAACTTAGTTGGATCAGTATAGACAAACATACAGTGTATTAATAAAAACATTTTCCCCAATATTTAAGCGTATTTATTATGTAAAGGCAAAAACAGCACTGCCTCCGCCAACGGCTGATTTGTTTAATCAATTAGTTACTGTACCGTACCGTACCGTGCGGCGGGGTCGGAATTGTACACGAGTTTTGGGGAAAAAGGTGTAATTAGCTACGCTACACCGACAGAGTCAAATTGTAGACAACCGTAGAAAGACCACTGTAGGAATAAGTCGACCAGGTTCAATTATTATTCAGTCAACTAATTAATAAAAAAATGTTGCGATGCGTCTTCTTTTTATTTAATTTTATGACATAATAAATTATATATGTTCATTAAAACAATAGTAAAATTCAAAAGTGTTTTCGCCACACAGATTCTTAACTTGCCTTGCCTTCACATAAATAATAATAATAATAATAGTAAAGTAATAAATCACCACGCCGCTCTTACTCTTGGCTTCACTTCAATTCAATTCACTGCTGCCTTTTTAGATATCTCTGCAACAATCATTTTTACCTTCACCACTAAATCAATCACAGATACGGAAAAACCACATTCTTCTTGAGCTCCCAATACCCAATACTTGTGCCCACCCCCATTTGGCTCTTTTTCGTTATCTTCTTCTTCCTTTCTGTGCCTCCTTTTCAAGATTCGTTCATGGGGAGGATTTTGAGATTCTGGGCTTTGAGCTGTGCTCTGCTCTTTTTCGGAAATTGCGGTGCTAGAGATTTCACACCATTTGGTACCAACAGCAGGAATGAGTCGACGACGTTGTTGGAGACGATAATGTCCTCGTCAGTAAATCATCGAGTGTCTGCCCCTCCCGACGCTCTAATGGTGGGCCTTACACTTATCCAAGGAGCTGCTCCTAAGAGGGCTGGTATGTATCGATTTCTCACTCTTGCTCTTCTTCTTTCACTTCTTTGGTTTAATTTCTTGGTAATATATATATATATATAAGATCGAATATATGCTTTAGTTTGTTGTAGTTTTAGTTGTGTATCTGGTGATTTGTTGATAGGGAGGGTAGTTTTGTTGCTTGAAATAATTATGTATTGGTCTTCCTTTCTTTATTAATTTTTGTATGTTTTGTCTTGCAACTAAGATGGTTTGAACTTGAAGCTTCTCTGTGTTTATATTTATATAGTTTTGGATGTTTTGGCCTTCTTGATGAAATTTCAGAATAGTATAACTTTGATATTTGATACGATATAGTTTTTTGTTTTCTTTTTGAATAAGTTATTGATGTATATTGTCAAAACTTCAAAAGAAATGTATATAAATATACGATAAATATAAATGTATGATATTGTCCACTTTGAACTAACGGATTTGTTTTTGGACTTTATCAAAAGGTCTCATTGTATGGAGTTTATGTGGGTAATATAAGATGTAATTTGTTTTCAAATATTCTAATGTCGGACTTGGATTCATGCAGTATGTCTGGATGGAACTTTACCGGGCTATCATTTGCATCGCGGGTTCGGGATGGGAGCCGACAGCTGGCTCGTCCATTTAGAGGTTAGTGAGTGAGTTCGGAAATTGTTTAGTTTTATGTATTGAGCTCCACACAATTTGTAAGACGATGAAGTATTTTTGTCGAAATAATGTTGATGTACGCAAGCTTACATTACTAAATTCGATGTTATATGATGACGAGCATTAAAATAGATTGAAGCTAAAACTATGCCTTTTTTTTTGTCAAACTCATCTGGCAGGGTGGGGGGTGGTGCAACAATATCAGGTCATGTGTGTACCGTAAGACGACTCACCGCGGGTCGTCGAATTATTTTGAAAAACTAATTCCATTTACCGGGGTGCTTAGCAACAAGGCAGAGGAGAATCCAGGTACAAATAATTGAAACCGAAGAAAAACTTGACCGTTGATTTAGCTCATTTCTTGCTATAGTTGTTCGTCGAAAGTAATTCAATTTACGAATACAGATTTCTTTAACTGGAATAGAGTGAAGATTCGATATTGTGACGGGGCTTCCTTTGCCGGGGACAGTGAAGATAAGGTTTTTCAAATTCTTGCTTAATATTTATCGGAACAATCAAAGAATATTCGGTAAATAAATCCGGCGTATGATATTTATGTAGGCTACAGGGTTGCAGTTTAGAGGACAACGGATATGGCTTGCGGCAATGGAAGATCTGATGTCTAAAGGAATGCGCAACGCCAACCAAGTATTCGTCGTAACTAACCTTTTTTGTCGAAATCCCTTTATCCATATTTCAAGATATGATTTTTGTGCTTCAGGCGCTTCTTTCGGGCTGCTCCGCCGGTGGATTGGCTACGATATTGCATTGCGATGAATTCAAAAGTTTGTTTCCTCAAAGCACCAAAGTAAAGTGCATGAGCGACGCGGGATTGTTTATGGACGCGTAATCTCCTTACCTTTTCCGTTGTTCAACACCATCGAACGTTACTCCCGTTTTTTTTTTTCAAATCTATTTTTATTTTTCTTCCTGCAGCGCCGATGTATCAGGCGGACATACACTCCGAGGTTTCTTTGAGGGCGTCGTGAGCTTGCAGGTATCAAGAAGTTCATTTATTTCCGTCACTTGTAAGAGACTTATAGAAGAATCGATGAAAATTTGTTGTATTTTGCAGGGTGTCGGGAGAAACCTGCCTAGTGGTTGCACTGACCATCTCGACCCGACTTCTGTAAGTGTATTTACGGCTCATATATTTCTCCAAATCGACTGATATTTGGTTTCTCGTCTTTATTTTGGCGCGCCTTCTTTCGTTTGCAGTGCTTCTTCCCGCAGAACTTAATTTCCAATGTCCGAACTCCGCTCTTTATTCTCAACGCTGCTTACGACTCGTGGCAGGTATGAGAAAAAAGCTTTCGATTTTAAGTTAGATGATTATAGTTCGATACAAATATATAAAACTATATATACATATATATATTTGTATTGTGTTTAGGTTCAAGCGAGTTTGGCTCCTCCGACAGCCGATCCTCACGGAAACTGGCACAATTGCAAGCAAAACAATGAACTATGTTCCGAATCACAGATACATTTTTTGCAAGGTAGATGAACAAATACGTCAATTCGTCGATGCCAATCTTACAATCAAGAAAATTAATCGAAAATTTTTTTTTGATGGGATTCAGGTTTTAGAAATGACATGCTGAGTGCGGTGAAAGGCTTTGCAGGCTCGAGGCTAAACGGGATGTTTATTAATTCTTGTTTTTCTCATTGCCAGTCGGAGAGGCAGGACACTTGGTTCGCCGACGATTCCCCCCTTCTTAACAATATGGTAACCCGACTTTTTCGAGCTTATGCATTTTTCCGAGCTTGTTCCCTTAAATTCATTCATCTTAGATGAAAAATTAAGCGAAAAATTCATCGGTTCGACCTTAATAGATTGTTTATATTAGGCATTTGTGTCTTTATAACATGCTATGGTAAATACTGCAGCCGGTCGCGATTGCCGTGGGAAACTGGTTCTTCGATCGACAAAGTGTCAAGGAAATTGACTGCGCGTATCCGTGCGATCGGACATGTCACAACCTGGTATTCAAATGAATCCGTTGGATGGATGTGTGAGACTCGATGGATCGAATTATATACGTATATGAATATGTATATGATTTAGTATTCTTGCCGCGATAATTGATTAATGGTGGTGTTGTTAGTTAATGTGTTGTATTTTGAACGGCAATGAAATCCCAATTGCCGATTCATGATTCTTTGTGTAATTGTTGTGGAAAACTCCTTCAAATGAAAATTATTTGAACAAGATTTGTGTGAAGTTGAGGTGTTTTGGTGTAATAATATTTTTGAGATGTTGAAAATTGATTGTTGTGCAGGACAATTTGTTGTCTTGGGAATCAGAGGGAAATGATGCTTCTGCAACTGCAAGAATATTGAAACCTTGCAATGAGTTGCTATTACATATTTTGATGTTGTCTATCTCTATGATATGATTGTGGGTCAACACTAATATGATATTGTCCGCTCACGGATTTGTTTTTGATATTCTCTGAAGACCTCATAGTAATGGAGTTCACTTGGGACTTATAAAGTGTGAAATTTTCTTTACAACTTCTGATGTGAGACTTAATTTGCACCCCAACAATGATATGATATGATACAATATAATAATAACAATCAACTTGTTAGTGATTACTTATATATACTTGCAATCTACATTAAAAAACTATTCTATGTTTCAATCAAAGTATAATATTTAACATATATCTTCATTAAAAACATGCTAACAAATAATATACACTTTATTATGATTATCTAGGGGTGGACGTTCGGTCGGGTCGGATAGTTTAGATTGGATTCGGGGTTTTGAGTATCCGATCAAAAAATCGGATATAAAAATTTAAATTTGATCGTATATTTAAATTTTTTTTAAGAAAAAATAAATATATATATATATACTCCTATTAATAAAAATAAAAAAAAAAGTATTGCAATATAGTTTTTTAATAATAGTAGTAGTAATTGATGTTGTATTGATTAAATAGCAACCATCGGATTTTATTATCCTTAGCTTTTTATAATAAATCAACATAAGTAATTGTTTAGTTCGCACCCCATCAGTAGACACAAGAATGGATTTGAAGTTCGCTCTTCGGTAGCGGCTGCGGGTTCCCACGTTATAAAAAAAAAATGGATTTGAAGTTCTTATAAATTATAAACAACAAAATAATTTACTTTAATTTGCGTACAAAAATTAAATGATAAACTTACTCATGCACAGAAAGAAAAGTATTCCTTCCGTCTCAATTTTTTTATTTTAGTCCGTCTCAAAGTATTCATTTTTTTTATTTTTTTTTTTAAGTAATTGTACTATCTACCTAACATTACAAATACCCTTACAACTTAAAATATATTACACAAATGTCATTACTTTTTATATTAAGGTTATTTTAGTCATTTAATACTTTATTCCTACTCTCTAATATAATATTAATATTTCTAAAACTCCGTGTAAAAAGCAAAAAGATACATAGTTATGGGACGAATGGAGTATAAAAATAGATCCTTTTCTCGGACTGTATTCTTATTCCACTATACACATTCTTTCTGTTTGGGAAAGCATTGGATTGTTCGATCCACCCCTTTGATCAATAATTTTAATTTATATTCAAATTTATTTAGCGTGATATGAATTGATATTTGATATAATTGGAAATAAATTTTTAATGCAATTAAATATAATATAAATCTATAATTGCGATTTTTATTTTTCAGAAAAGAGTTTCATTTAGGTTTGAAATTGAATTTTTTTATTTAAATTATAACCTAAATAATATTTTTATCTACATAATATTTTGTGAAAATAAATAATACTATCTCCGTTCGACTCTAAGGTCTCTTGATGTTTGAATATTAATTGTTATATCAAATACAAATTAAGAAAAAATTGCAAAAATATTTCAACTCGAAATTTTGATTCTATGCTTGTTTGGTTTATTTTATTATACTTCCAATTTTTCCTAAATATTTTATTTTTGGATTCATGTGTATTCTTTCGGTGTGTTTGTTTTGTATTTTGGTTCGAATAAATTTTTTTTATATGAAATATAGAGAATTGTGTAAATAATATAAAAATAATCAACGTGTGTATAATATATTAATTTTTAGGGGAGAAATATATGGAGATGAGATGTTTTGTTAAAGAAACAAACCCTTAATTTCTATATTTATTCATTTAAAAAATATATTTATGTATATATTCAAAATTTCATCATTTTTCTAATAAAATTAATTTATATTAATCATGTATGAATATTTATTTATTTATATTAAATAAAATTTTATTTTTTAAAATACTATTTAACTTAAATATATTTTTATATAAAAATAATTTAAAAATACTTAAATACATATTTTAAAATTATTTTAATTATATATAAATTAGTATTTTATTAATATATAGAGTAATGAAATAGTAGTTAATGTTCATTTTACCTTTGATATTAAAGTAAAACTAATGTGAAAATAAAAAGTAAAAATATTTTAGTATTTATGTAAAAATATTTTGGTATTTATGTAAAAATTATTCTTTCTAAGAAATGAAATTAGAAGTTTTAATTTGAACGTATTAAAATAATAAAATGAAAAGTTTACTAGTATTAAACGGAAATAATATATTATTAAAGATAAATTAATTTGGCATTTCATCGTCAGAACACAACATAATTATTAAATAAAAGAGTATTTTTTTATATATTTAATTTGAATTAATTCATTAAAGTAAAATAAAAAAGTGTGTTCATTTTATATTTTTAAATTAATGTATTTTTATATTATAGGTGAAAATTTATATTGGTAATGTTAAAAATAATATTTTGTATTAAATAATTAATTTTTTTTATACATAAATGAAATATATATTATAATATATTATATTAATATATGTATATTATTTTTTAAAAACAATATTTTCTTTATGAAATGAAGAGAGATTCTTTTAATTTGCTTTTAGTGAGAAAAGAAAAGCTAGTTAGAGCAGATGGAATAAAATCAGTGGTCCTAAGATTGATGTTTCAACTTCAAATTCCAAACATGATTCAATTCAACACACCAAAAGATTTTGAAGAAACATCACACACACAAATATATATATATATATTAATATAAATAAATAAATATTTCATCAGTCATTCAAATCTATTATCACTTTTTTTTGGGTTGTCATTGAAAAATATTCTCATTTTCTCTTTAAGTTAAAAATCATTTCATTTTTGTACTGTTTTTTACTATAAAAAGAAAAATTAACAATTATAACTCATTTTTATTAAAATTCATGTCCGGTCAAATAAGTACAGATTTCCGTAAGGGTGTATATATATATATATTAATATAAATAAATAAATAAAGAGGTTACTGCAAGATTCTTTGTGAGTGCCATTATTGTAGCTTTCATGTCTAAAATCAACATGCTCTCTTCAATAAAAAGAAAATTGACATAAAATAGTGTATAAGATTTTATTGTTAAGTCCAAATTTCATTATGAACAAAAACAATATAATAGGACTAGAATACAAATTACATCAAACAATTAGTTTGTTTTGGTCTTGATTTGATTTGAAATGGGAGTTGGGTTCGAGTTTTTGTTTAAATAATATTTTGATGTGATATTTTTTAAGAATAAATAATAGGTTTGTTTTGCTTAAACTTTTCTTTCTAACACGATTTTTAATATATATTTTATCATATAAAAAAATCGTCATTCAATATAAAATATTATTTTTTATGTTACCAGACATAATTTTTTATACTTCATATAAAAAAAAATTCAAATCAAAACACTAAACAACCAGACTCAATGTCGACATGAAAATGTAATAAATGTATAATCCAAATTTTATTTAAATGTAGTTTATTGATCTTCACATGCTATGGAAATTATATCATGCATATATGCATCAAGAATTGAGAAATTATTCGACCATATATATATATATACACCCACAAATAGATTAAATTCTGTATATAGCTTAATAAAAATTTAGTAATTTATTGCAAGGAAAATTGCAAATTACATGTTTGAACTTTGTAGTTTATTTTAGTATCGAGAAAGAAAATTTATATATTTTAGATTATATCTGCCATTCTTTATTTTTTTTCTTCTTACTTAATTAATCTTGTTAGAAATAAGTTCGTCTTTAACTAATTCGACATTGTCGTTTTACTTTTTGGGTATTTATATTACCTATGTGTTGATATATTTACTATATTGGAAAAATCGTGTTCATTTCAGCGATGTCGGATCAGATCGTGAAATCAACACGGACAAAGTTTTGGTGCCAGAGAATTTTTAAAACAATATTGATCTAGCTACGAATTAATTTTAAACGTAAAATTTTCCTTTTATAAATTATAATTATTGATCTAATTAAAAGTAAAATTTGTCTCTTATGTGATACTCCAAATTGGGATGGGATTTAAGAGAATTAATTAGATTATTTGTATTAATAATATACAAATTTCTTTTCGATAGTTCATCTTCTTTAAAAAAAAAAAAAAAAAAGAGTTTGCATAGAAATTTTTTAAAATATTGGTAATGATAGAGTTTGTTCTTTTCGCATTTTTAAGTTTTTTTTTTTTTTTTAACTAAGCAACATTTATTCTTTTTGATAAAAATATACTTCCTCCATCCACTTTAAAAGCTTACATTTGTTTTTTGTGTGTTGATTTTTAAATATTAATTATTATATCAAAACTTAGTATAAATCAAGAAAAAAAACAAAAATACTTCTATTAGTGCCTTATAATACTAATAGAAGAACATTTATACAAAAAAAAAATTATACAAATATAAGCATATTTTTAATATTAAGTACAATGACATAAAATTTAAATATAAACTTATTAAGCGGACGGATGAAGGACTATAAACTATTAAATTCAAATTCAAGTCGAAATACAAATATAATTCATAGGTAATATGGAATCTCCTTCTCAAGAAAATTTAAAATTACACGTAGATATATAAAAAGTAAATGATAGAACCATATTCTTGTATTTCTTTATTCATTTTCTGTTCTTTGCATCTTGATTAGCTATCTAATCTAATCATCAAAATGACTGATGGGATTGTCGCAATAGACTCATTGCTTATATATCGTTTCATTAAGGGTTCAAATTGAAAATGTATCAGTATCATGCTAATTGTCTCAATCAGTATATAAAAATATTATATGTAGTATATAAAAATACAACAACTAATACATGTTATATAAAATATTAGTATCTGTTATCAATTCTATTTTATAT